GGAATCATACGAACCCAGACAAACCCATTCTGTACACCTTTTCATGCTTTTTAACTAAACGAATGGAGACTGACCGCAAGGCCAAAACACATGGAACTATCTTCGGCTTACACCTCGTGTGCGGTTGGTGAAATTAAGACCTCCATAAAACTTTCGAACCGCTGAACCGATCTGGGTGATATTTCAGTATGTTGTCCCCCAGATCGGGGCTATCAGGGAATATGGGTGTATGATATTGTTTTGGGGTACATCTCATCTGAGAATTGGGGAAAAATGTGTTCAAAAACTTCTATGTAATTAAGTTATCTCTCATGCTGAGGGGAGGGAATATGGGTACTGTATCCAGCCCTGGATTGGCTGATGCCTTATTCTTTGTGGGTGTCTCCCTTGCATGAGAGAAATGTATAAAAGCTGAGTGTGTGATTAAAAGTACAGTTCTGCTCCTGATACTGAGTGTCGTCCAGTTATTGGGAAAGGTGATGGGAGATTTGTGGATTACTTTATTTACTGCTTATGCTGTTCTTCTTATGATAACCTACTTGATCCTGAGTAACTATTGGAATACCAGCGGAGAAAGGTCTGTTAAATTAGCGCTCCACTACATGTGTGTATAATGGATGCAATGTGTGTGTGTGTGTGTGTATAGTGGATGCAGGAGGGAGGGGGTGACACAGTTAGGGAGTTGGTGAAAGGTGGCAGAGTGACTGAGTGAGGGGTTGACACAGTGAGGGAGGGGTGACAGGTGGCAGAACGACAGGGGGTGACAAGTGGCAGAATGACGGGGGGTGGCAGAGTGAGGGAGGGGGTGACAGGTGGCAGAGTGACTGTGGGAGGGGTTGACACAGTAAGGGAGGGGTGACAGGTGGCAGAGTGAGGGAGGGGGTGACAGGTGGCAGAGTGACTGAGTGAGGGGTTGACACAGTGAGGGAGTGGGTGACAGGTGGCAGAGTAACTGAGGGGGTGACAGAGTGGGTGGCAGAGTGACTGAGGGAAGGAGGGGGTGACACCGGTGACAGAGTGGGTGACAGGTGGCAGAGTGACTGAGGAAGGAGGGGGTGGCAGAGTGACGGAGTGGGTGACAGGTGGTAGAGAGACTCAGGGAGGGAGGGGTGACATAGTAAGGGAGGGGGTGGCAGAGTGACTGAATGAAGGGGTGACACAGTAAGGGAGGGGTGGCAGAGTGATGGAGGGGGAGGGTGACAGGTGGTAGAGTGACTGAGGGAGGGAGTGGCACAGTAACGGAGGGGTGACACTGTAAGGGATGGGGTGGCAGAGTGAGTGAGGGTGGGAGGGGGTGACACAGTAAGGGAGGGGGTGACAGAGTGAGGGAGGGAGGGGGTGGCAGAGTGGAGGGGTGACAGGTAAAGTGATGGAGGGAGGGGGTGACACAGTAAGGGAGGGGGTGGCAGAGTGACTGAGGGAGGGGGTGACACAGTGTGGTTGGGTGACAGTAAGGGAGGGGATTGTAACTTTAAAAATACCTTTATTTTTTTCTCTGTTGGTCCAGTGTCTTTGATCCCTGGTGGTCCGGTGGGCTGTCTCTCCAATCTGCTGCAGACTGTGCAGTGTCTAGCGATATCCAGAAGTCAGAGCATTGCCGTGGTAACCTGCGGCAACGCTCTGATTGGCCAGAGATCGCGAGACACCCGGCGGAGCTGCAAACTGTGCTGGCTCTCTGCCTCTCAGGGCGGACTGGAGGGGTCTCGCACCCGGCAGCATACCGGGCAAGCCGGCGGCCCCCTCCTGGTGTCAGGTCCTTGGTGAGGAACCGAGGACCTGACAGTCTCCTGCCCTATGGCAAGTTAGGCAGCCGCGAGGCCATAGGTGGCTGCCTAACTCACCTAATTAAAGAGCCGCCGGCCCGCCACAGAATGAGCCTGGAGCTATAGCTCCACTTAGAGCTATGGCTCCAGGCTCACTCTGTGGCAGGCCGGCTGCTCTCTAATTAGGCGAGTTAGGCAGCCACCTAAGGCTTCACGGCTTGCTAACTCGCCATAGGGCAGGAGACTGTGTCAAGTCCTCGGGGTATGGATGGCCCAGCCCTGTGTGGCACACATGGAGATCGGGTGCTGGTCAGGTTTAACTCTCCACATTTGAGTTAATTTCATCTGATCAACACATAAGTGATTAACTGGCTTGTATCTTGTCACTTCGCCACTTCCAGGCACGATCTATGCTTTTTGAATCTGCGCCAAGTTGTCATGTGAAATGCTCTGAGATACTTAGCTCCACTGGCGGAACTACCCCGGTCGCAGGGGTCGCAACTGCGACTGGGCCCTTCATTCCAGGGAGCCCTGGAGCCCTGCTGATACATATTCTGGTATTCCTGCAGCCACTGACAGCAGGTGAAATGAGACTAGGAAGGCTTGAAGTGCAGGTGGAGGGACCCGGGCTGGCCCTAACTGATCACTCCATCTAAGTGGCTTCGTTCAGGTAAATCTGCACCCACCCTGGGCAGAGGGGCAGGAAATGAGGACAAGGCAAACTTCAGACTGTGGGAACCTTAATAGTGCCCTTCTATTGAATTATCTCAGTGTTTTACTGTGGTCATACCTGGTGTCCCTGTAGATTAATTAGAAATCCTATGTCTAATGGTTAGTGAGGAAAGGGTCTGGGGTCAGTCAGCCTAATCTTAGTTTACTCTTGTTATTTTGGTAGAATCCCATGAAAGTTAGAGAGCCAGGAGTGTTTTTGAAGCCTGTATATGAGCTGCATGAAGTGTATACAGCAATGAAACACTGCGATACTGGGCTACCTCTAATCCCTGTACTGTGTTCATTACAAGGGCTAACTTTGGACAGGGTGGCCACAAAGTGGTCCCCCCTTTTCCCCAGAGCTGCAACATGAAGGATGTCAAAGCTTCATTGGAGTTGCACTTCTACAAAAGCTTGTCTAATCTTAACCCCCCTGTTTTATGGGCATTCATTGCTTGTCCTTTACATAGGGAGATACAAATTTTATTTTAATCTGTGTAATTTGGTGAGTGAAGGGGCAGGGTACATGCATTCCTTGGTCTGGTGACTTTAACTCTTTATTGTAAACCCAGGCATTTGAACAGCATTAGATTTCCCAATTGCCTGTATAGGACCACGATGTGTAGGTAATCTATTAGTAGGGCAGCCCCCCATGATTACAGTAATGGGGAAAGTTGATCATACTTTCATTAGTGTTGAGAGAATTCATTCAAAGTACTTGATTTTAACTTTTAAAATCTGCTGTCAAGCGTTTTGTGACTTTAGGAGGTTCAAAATAGATTTTGTTCAGAGGCCAGTGGCCAGACTACCATGGTCACAGAGTGTGTGTATGTCAATGAGTGAATGAGTGTCTGTCTGTGTGTGTGTGTGAATGTGTGTGTCTGTCAGTGAGTGTGTGTGTGTGTCAAATCATATGTGTCTGTCAGTGAGTGTTTGTCAATGAGAGTGTGTGTATGTCCGTGAAAGTGTGTCTGCCAGTGTTTTGTCAAATCAATGAGTGTGAGTGTTAGTGATTATATGTTTCTGTCAGTGTGTGTCAAATAAGTGTGTTTGTCTGTCAGTGAGTATGTGTTTCTGTCACTGAAAATGTGTGTTGGTTAAAAACTGTGTGTATCAATGACTGTGTATGTCAGTGAGTATATGTCAATTTATGTGTATCAGTGAGAGCGTATTGGGGGCCCTTCTGTGATTCTTACCGGTGCCCTGCAATTCCTAGTTACGCCTCTGCTTACCTCCATTATTTTCTGAAATGTACATCAATATGTAGATGTTTCATATATTTTATGTGTACTGACGCCTTCCACCCTTTTCCTGAATCCTCTCTCTGATGGTGATAAATCAGTAAAATGCAAATGGTAAAAAAAATGTAGTTAAAATATTCACATTTATACGTTTTGCAAAGTTATGAGTACCAAAGCCTCCACAAAAGGAAAAAATATTGCTAATCACTAAACAAGTATATGTATCCAGCATCTAAAGTATTGCTGCCAGTAGTATACCTGCCAGCATTGACTGCTCACTATCTGGGATGGAGGGAAGGGAATGTTCATGAAGGAGGTAGGTCACTTATAAAGTGGAAGGGGCTTCCCCTAAATTGGGGAACAAGGCTTACTGACAGCCTCTCTCAATACAGACCATGCATGGGGTTCAGCTGAAGTGCTCTGTGAATGGTCCTGAACTGCTGGCATATGTTAGAATTTGGGACAGGTCCCATTTTCGCTGGGACAGAACTTCAAAATGCGAGATTGTCCCGCTAAAACATGGGTCGTCAACCTGGTCCCTACCGCCCACTAGTGGGCGTTTCAGGATTCCAGGTGGGCGGTAGGGATTTCAGAGATTGGGTAGGCGGAAGGGAGGGCGGGTGCGAGCCGGCGGTACCCGTGTGACCGGGTACCACCGTCACCATTTTCCACGCGGGCCGGGGCCGCCACCCAAGGGGTCCATCGGGTGGCCCATGCTGTCAGAGCCACCCGATGGATGTGGATTGAGAGGGGGCCCGGTCAGCGCTGGGCACTTTAACAGCGCGACCGGGCCCCCTATTATTACATCACACGCTGACTGCACGTCACTCCTCCCAGCTAAAACTGAGAGCCGCGCGGGAGGAAGCAGAGGGAGTCAGAGTGGGAACTCTGACTCCCATGCACCTGAGCCACCACTGGACCCCAGGGAAAGTCACCCTCCTGCACCTAAAAGGTAGGAAACAGGAGTGTGTGTTTGTTTGTATGTATGTGTCTTTGTATGTCTTGTGTATGTCTGGTGTGTGTCTATGTATGTATGTCTTGTGTGTGTGTGTCTATCTGTATGTATGTGTGTGCAGGGCCGGTGCTTGGATTTTTAGGTACATAGGCGAAGATGCATTTTTCCACTCCCCCTCCCCCACCCCAAAAAAACCCAACATCTTCACCTATGTGCCTCTTAACCAGCCCCTCTCGCCTCCCCGACCATTAGTGGTCCCTTCCCTGTCCCTCAGTGTTCTTCTCCCCCCTCTTTTCCCTGTCTCTTGGTATTTCTCTCCCATTCCCTCCCTGTCCCTTGGTGCACCCCACACCCCTTTAGTGGTCACACTCCCCTTCCTGGTGTGCCTACTACCTCTATTGTTGCATTGCCGAGCGGAGCAGATCCCCTAAAGGAGCTTCAGTTTTCTGTACCCGGCCGGACTGACAGGGAGTACTCTCTCTTTGAGCACCTCCTGTCAGTCTGGCCAGGTACAGGAAACAGAAGCTCCTGTACCGCGCTCTGCTCCACTACACTCTGTACACACTGACAGTCACACACTCAATGACAAACACACAGACGTCACTGACAGATACAGACTCATTGATTTGTCACACACTCATTCATTGACACTGACAGACCCACACTGATTGACACTCATTGACAGACACACTGATAGTCACACACAGACTCAATGACAAACATACTCTCACTGATTTGACAGACACACACTCATACACTGACAAACACACTCATCATACACTGACAGACACACTTATACACTCACATGCAGACACACTCATACAATCACTCACAGACACACACACAGACGCACTCACACACACACTCACACACACACACACGCTGTCACTCACAGACACACACAGATGCACAGTCACTCACAGACACACACTGTCACTCACAGACACACACACAGACGCTCTGTCACTCACAGACACACACACTCTGTCACTCACACACACAGTCACTCACAGACACACACGCTCAGTCACTCACAGACACACACACTGTCACTCAAACACACAGTCACTCACAGACACACACACTCTGTCACACACACACACAGTCACTCACACACACAGTCATACACACACACACACACTCTGTCACTCACAGACACACATCACATACATTCACTAATTATTTTATAAATAGACATTTTCCACCCAGCCTCCCTACCTGGAGAGCTGGTGTGGATGATGGATCTGTCCCTGGGGCTGCTGGGAGGCGTGCGGCAGTGCTGTGATCAGGCGCGGCGAGGGAGCTCTAATCTCCACCCTCTGCTCCCTCGCGGGCTGCCTACTGATGCTGCGGGATGACGTCATATTCCGGCTCCCGCGGCATCAGCAGGCAGCGCGCGAGTGAGCAGAGAGGTTAGAGCTCCCTCGCCTCGCCTGATCACAGCACTGCCGCGCCGGGGGTCGAGATGGTGGCCTGGCAGGAGGGAAAGCTTCCCTCCTGCTGGTCACTGAAATCTTGCGCCCCCGGAGCCGGTGCGCCCTAAGGCGGTTGCCTGTGCCGCCTTATGGACGCGCCGGCCCTGTGTGTGTGTGTTTGTGTCTTGTGTATGTGTACCTGTCTGTTTGTATGTATGTGTGTGTTTGTATGTCTGTGTACCTTACTGTTTGTATGTATGTGTGTGTCTGTATGTGTACCTATCTGTTTGTATGTATGTGTGTGTATGTATGTGTGTGTGCGTGTGTCTGTATGTATGTGTGCCTGTCTGTATGTATGTGTCTTGTGTGTGTGTGCCTGTCTGTTTTTCTGTATGTATGTATGTATGTGTGCCTGTGTGTGTGTCTGTATGTGTGCCTGTCTAGGTGTGCCTGTCTAGGTGTGCCTGTCTGTGTGTGTGTCTGTATGTGTGCCTGTCTGTTTGTATGTATGTGTCTTTTTATGTGTGTGTGTGTGTATGTATGTGTGTCTGTTATAGTGGGCTATAGTAAGTGGGCTACCGAGCTAAGCCTTCCTACTGGGCATTGCTATAAGGAAGGTTACAAAATAGAAAAAAGGGATAAAAAAGGTGGGGAGGGGAATTGAGGAGGGAGATGAGATGAGCTGACGCACAGATGAGAAATCCTATTATGCACAAACAGAGAAGTCGTCTGAATATCACCGAAAGAGGAGACCTTCGTTTGTTCCTTACGAAAATCGAACCAGATATCAAATATTTAGTCTTGCAGCATCAGCCTCAAGGATCTCATTAATCACTAGTAAAGGTAATTTCAATTTACTTTATTGTTTTCCAATTAAAATTTATAAAGTTCCAAATATTATAAACATGCATAATGTAGAAATAAAAAGATAAATGTACGTACATTTATTTTTTTTTTTAAAACACCCTCCTTTCTAAAAAATATTCCGCACTTGTGCGAAAACTGGTGGGTGGTAAGGAAATTTTTCCATCAAGAAAGATGCATTAGTGGGCGGTAGGTAGAAAAAGGTTGACTACCACTGCGCTAAAATCATGATTGTTGGCTCCTACATAGTATTGAAATAGCTCTGAATATTACTTTTTTCAATTTTCTTATTATTTGTTGTCCAAAAAGATATGGCAGTGTCAATATTGTACGACATAATGCAAACACTATGTGAAAAATTCATGTTATTATTATTATTATTTTCTAATTATTTATATAGCGGCAACAAATTCCTCAGCGCTTTACAGTGGGTGGACGAACAAACATGTAGTTGTAACCAGACAAGTTGGACACACAGGAACAGAGGGATTGAGGGCCCTGCTCAATGAGCTTACATGCTAGAAGGAGTGGGATAAAGTGACACAAAAGATAAGGATAGTATTAGACTAATAACAGTTGCAAGAGAAGAATCAGTCGGGAGCTATTAACAGTTTAATTGATACGCTTTTAAGAAGAAGTGGGATTTTAATGATTTTTAGGAGTGGAGACTGGGTGAGCATCTAACAGAGGAGGGAAGTGAGTTCCCTCAATAAGTCTTGAAGGCGAGCATCAGAGGTGGGATTACAGACAGAATATAGACGTAAGTCTTCAGCAGAGCGTAAGGGCCTAGACGGGACATACTTGTGTATTAGGGAGGATAGACAGGTGGGAGCAGCATTATGTAGAGATTTGAAAGCAAGAACCAGAATTTGAAATTGAGCCCTATATCTTACAGGAAGCCGATGTAGTGACTGACAGAAGGGTGAGGCTTGGGAGGTGTGGGCAGACAGGAAGATGAGCCTCGCCACCGCATTCATTATGGACTGTAACGGCGCTAGTTGGGAGCACGTAAGACCACTGAGAAGCGGATTACAGTAATCAAGGCAAGAAAGGACAGTGGAATGCACCAGCACCTTAGTCACATCTGGCGTTAAGTAGGGTCGGATGAGCACAATGTTTTTGAGATGCAAGCGGCAGGATTTGGCGATAGACTGAACACGAGGCGTGAAGGAGAGGTAGGAGTCAAAGAGAACACCTAGGCAGCGAGCCTGCATGGTGGAGCTGATGGTAGCACCGTTGACTTGGAGGGAGACAGACACGGGAATAGCAACACTTGAGGGAGGAAAGACCAGAATTTCAGTTTTGGTTGAGTTTAAGGAAGTGGGCAGCCATCCAGAGGGATGGGGAGAGATCAAGAGAGAACAGATAGATTTGTGTGTCATCCGCATAGAAATTATATTGGAAGCCAAAGGAGCTAATGAGTTTACCAAGGGAGGCAGTATAGACAGAGAGCGGTAGGGGACCAAGGACTGAACCTTGGGAGGCACCAACAGAGAAGAGTTGGGGAGAGGAAGAAGAGCCAGAGAAGGAAACACTAAAAGAGCACTGGGAGAGATAGGAGGAGCACCAGGAGAGAGCAATATCTTGTAGACCGATATTGCGGAGGATTAATAGAAGCTGTTGATGATCAACAGTGTCAAAAGCCACAGAAAGGTCAAGGAGAATTAGGAAAGAGTAGTGACCATGAGATTTTGCAGCGAGTAGATCATTGCATACTTTGGTCAGTGCCGTTTCCACAGAGTGCTTAGCGTGGAAACCAGACTGAAGCGAGTCTAGCAGAGAGTTGGACTCGAGAAAGTCTGTCAATCCCACATACACAACTCTTTCAAGGATCTTGGACGCAAAAGGCAGTAGCGAGATGGGATGGTAGTTAGACGGGGAGTCAGGGTCAAGGCTGGGCTTCTTTAGAATTGGGGTTACATTGCAGTTGCATGTTTGAAGGTCGATGGAAATATGCCAGAGGAGAGAGAGATTGAAAATTTTAGTGAGAGGTAGAGAAAGAGAAGAAGATGAGATGCGAGGGAATTGGATATAGGGAGCAGGTTGTGGGGCGGGAGGACTGGAGCAGAGCAGAAACCTCTTCTGCTGTAGCGGGTGTGAAGAAACATAGTACAGCAGAGGGAGTGAGGTTAGGAAGAGTATTGTAAGGGGAAGAAGAAAGATGAGAGATCTCTTCCCTGATTGTAGAGATCTTGTCTGTGAAGTGAGTTGCAAAGTTTGAGGTGGTCAAGTTAGTAGGTGGAGGAGGAACAATAGGGCGAAGATAAGAGTTAAATGTGTGAAATACTTGTTTGGGTATGCAGGAGAATGTGGTTATGAGGGTATTAAAGTAATTTAATTTTGCAGAGGGAAGAGACAAGCTGTATGAGCGCAGCATAAATTTATAGTTAAGAAAGTCAGATGCACAGCCAGACTTTCTCCAACAGCATTCAGCAGTTCTGGAGCATTTTTGGAGGTATCGATTCAGCTTGTTGTGCCAAGATTGTTGTTGGGGCGCTTGCTGTGTTTAAATGTAGGAGGTGCCATAATGTCTAGTTGAGAGGAGATGGTGGAATTGTAGAAGGAGGTTGCAGAGCTAGGACAGGTGAGGTTTGAGATAGGTAAAAGGAGAGTTTGGAGAGACATTGGAGGTTTCTGTGAAATTGCAGTTCAGACGATGGTGTCAATTGGGTCTTGGGTATGCCAATGTCAAAAGTCAGCAGATGGTGGTCAGATAGAGGAAAGGGAATATTGGAGAGATTAGAGGTGCTACAGAGATTGGTGAAGGCGAGATCAAGAGTGTTTCCCGCTGTATGGGTTGCTAAATGGAGGAGGTTACAGAGAGCAGACGAGAAGAATCAGTGCAGCTGGGGTTGTTGATTGGAATATTGAAATCCCCAAGTAAAATGGAAGGAGTGCTAGATAAGAGGAAGTGGGGAAGCCAGAAAGAAAAGTGCTCAATGAATAGCCTAAGATGACTGGGGGATGATAGGAATGCTTATACCACCTCATTTACTGTTGAGTCTGGGAGTGTGAGAGAATTGTAGGCCACCAAAACATAAAGAAATAGCGCTATCAGAGGAGGACAGCCAGGTCTCTGTAAGTGCAAGTAGTGTGAGTGAGTTTGAGATGAAAAAGTTGTGTATGGCTGTTGATTTTAAATTACTGCAGACGGAGCCGGCATTCAAGAGTGCACACTGAATGTTGATAAGTGAGGGTAAAGGGCAGGGTATTGTGATGAGGTTTGTGGGGGTTTTGGTTTTCTTAGTGTGTGTAGAGAAGGTGAAGGGCCCTGGACTGGGAGAGACATCACAGCTGCTAGAAGCAGAAAGAAAGTGACAGTAGGTGTGAATGGGTTTTGTATGCTATAGACTCTATCATGCAGGGGTTCTCAACCCAGCCCTCAAGGACCCCATACCAGTCCAGGATTTAGGGATTACCCTGTTGTGTCTAAAGTGTTTGTCCTCCCCCCCCTAAAAACACATTAGACACAGAAGGGTAATCCCTAAATCCTGGACAGTTCGGGGGTCCTTAAGGACTGGGTTGAGAACCCCTGCTATAGTGTAACTAAATTTGAACTAAAATAAGGATGCAAAGGAAATCCTGTTTAAAGAATAAATCCAAAGACAAATAGTCTGAAACAGTTGAGGGAAGCCCCTAGAATCAGTTTTACAATAGGGTATAGAGCAATATTTGGAGACTTCAATAGAGTGTGTAAAGCACCATAAATACTATAATCAGAAA